CCCAGCATAGGGCAGAGCAGGGTAGGTCTTGGTAAATCTTGGTTGAGTTAAAAACGTACTGGCCTGGTGTCAGTGGGCCTGGAGGTTGGTCCCCATTTGCTCTTAGCAGCCACAGGACCTTTTGTCTCCATTTTTCAGGATCTAGGGCCTCTCTGAACCCCTGCATTACTTTGTTCCCTCATTCACATTTAGCACATGGCCCCAACCTAGCCCTGGTCTTGCACCTACGCGCCAAGCTCCCACACCTGACAGTGGTTTCTCTGAGCTCCTAGTCTTAGGAAAAAAAAAAACAAAAACTATCACAGACACTCTGCCCAGCCTTCCTAGGGTCTTCTGGCAGAGAGAAGCCAGCAGCATCCATAGGCAACTCAGACAGTAAACAGCTGTTTTCAACTAGAAGGAAATGGAATATTGGAGAAATGGCACTCTTTGGTGTCTCTAACTCATATCTGTTGGTCTTCAAGGATAAATGAGACTGGGAGAATCAGTGGAGGGGCCCTGGGTGGGGTCTACAGAATAGAGACCAAGGCCCAAAGGCAAGATGAGGAAAAGGAGGTCAGTGGGCAGGGCTTCTGGCAGGCTTACAGCTGAGAGTGGCCAGGTAAGCCTGGTTAGGCCAGATCAGAAAGCACCTCACATGTTCAGCGGCTTCAGGGCTGTTTCCTGGCAGGCGGCTGCCAGAGGGCTTTATGTTTAGGGATTTTTTTTGTTTCATTTTTGTGGTACTGGGGATTGAATCCAGGGCCTCTGTGTATGCTTTACTGCTGAGCTATTCCCTCAGGCCTGTGTATGTTTTTAAATAGTAGCTTTCCTGGCCAGGTACACTGGTGTACAACTATACTCCCAGCTAGCTGAGGCAAGAGGATGGAAGTTTGAAAGACCAAAGTTCGAGGGGCTGTCTCAAAAAAAATATCTTTAGCCACGCGTGGTGGCACATGCCTGTAATCCCAGCACTTGGGAGACTAAGGCAGGAGGATCTCCATGAGTTTGAGGCCAGCCTGGGCTACATAGTGAGTTCAAGGCTAGGATGAACTATATAGCGAGACCCTGTCTCAAAAAAAAATTTTTTTAAGGGGTAGGGTTACAGCACAATGGTAGACCACCCCCAGATTCAATTCTCATAACTCTTAGTTTTTATTCACTCTTTCAGGTCTTACACTAGTGAGACAATATGGTGCTTACACGTGCAGGTCTGATTTATTTCACTTATGAGTATAGTCTCTAGTTGTGACCATTTACCTATAAAAGCCTTGAGTTCATCTTTCTTTATAGCTGAGTAATATTCCATTATATAAAAGTACCACAATTTTTTTATCCAATCTCCAGTGGATGGACATTTGGGTTGCTTCCACAATTTAGCAATTACAAATTGTGCTGCTATGAACATGGGTGCACATACATCACTGTAATATGATGTTTTTCAAAACCACCAAAAAATTTACTAATATATAATTCACATAATTAAAAAAAAAAACCTTTGTTGTAGTACTAGGAATTGAACCTACAGCCTTTGCAATGAGCTACATCCCTAGCCCTTATTTTTAATTTTGAGATAGAGTCTCACTAAGTTGCTAAGTTACCCAGCCCAGGCTTGAATTTGAAATCCTGCCTTACCACCCCACAGTACTAGGATCACAGGCATGTCTTACCATGACCAGCTTTAAAGAAAAATCACCTTTTTGATGTGTACAATTTAGAGTTTCTTGCATATTTACAGTTTGCAATTCTCACCATAATCAATTTTGAAACATTTTAATAGCAGTGGTGCACAGCTGTAATCCCAGCACTTGGGAGACTGATGCAGGAGGATTGCCA